AAGGTAAACTTCACTTCCTTAAGAGAATTAATATACTTCAAACATTTTATACCCCACGTCTGCGTACTTAATACTAAGTACAGGCGGATATAAGGGTTTCTAATACAACAAGAGCAGCAAACCATCTCTACAAAAAAAATGTCCTGGCAAGAGGGTCTTCATGAAAACCTAATCAGAAACCAGCGGATTTGGCTGGAAATTATCCATTAATTAAGTCCCTGTTAAACTGAGAACAGAAGGCACTTCTCTACCCATAGAGTTGTAGGAGTGTGGAACAAGCTTCCCAGCCATACTGTTGAAACCAACTCTCTGTTTTTTTCCCGGCGATGAGACCCCTGGATCAATTAGCTACAACCAATCGAAGCATTTTCTTTCTTATTTTACAATTTTCTCATAAAAGAAGCATCAATTTATCTTTAAACGATAAATACTGGACACTTTGGTGGTGCGTAAGGCCCAACACTCAATTCCGCCAGATCTCTACAGAAAGTGTTTTTTTTTAACCTGAGATCATTTATGTCACGAGCTGCCGAGAACTGACACTCCAGATGACGCAGGCGGTGTTGATTCAGGGGCAAAGCTGGAACAAAACTAAAAGGCTGAAGTGGGTAAACTGTTTTATAAAAGTACAATAAGATAGAATTGCGCAAGGATTTCCAGATGTCCTGAAACAAATGCCTTTGCTAGACGTCTGCACACAGTTCTGCAGGGGGAGGGAGTGTGGGGCTGGGATTTTGGGGGCACAGCGAGACCCAGGCTCTTTGGAGCGAGACGGGTGGGAACAGGTGCTCTGCCTGACCAAGCACTGGCAGCCAGCAGGTGTCATGAGAACAGCACTCCTTCCTCCACCCAGCGGGTCTACAGAAAACACAGCAAAGATGCTGTGCTGCATTGCAACAGAGAAACCCACCACTTCTGAAGTCACTTCATCTGAAATTTTATTCTAATTTGGTCCCAACGCATTCAGGTGCTGGGAGACGCTGCTGTAATGCAAACGCTAATCCTATTAATAAATAATTCATCGTTCATCTCTCCGGGTTGCAGATGGCTTATTAATTTGGGGTTGGCGACGCTATTTTGACGAGGGAATATGAAAACTGCCGCTGTACTTCGGCTCACCCAGTCTGAAGCGTCTCTTCCTTTACTCAAAGCAGGTCTTTCTCAGACGGAGGGGGATGGGAGACAGCAAAAAATCATTTGCTTTGGCTAGTGAGCTCCAGGCCTTAATTTGCTTGTTTTCTTTACTAATTGTCTGTCTGCTGCTCAAGCTCCAGGTCCTAACCTCCCCCAGGCACAGGACAAGGGCTCTGTATAAGAGCAGAGTATGCTGGCTGTGCTAAAGTTGAGGTCATAATTCAATTCAATTCAACTTTATTGTCATTAAACTTACACAGGTGCACAGTATAATGAAAAGTGTTTCTCATTAGTCACTCAGGTGCAGTATATAAATAGGACAGAAGATAAGACAATAGACAGTAACACAATAGCAATAACAGTAACATGTAATAACATAACATAAATAACATGTAATCAAGTAATCAAAACTGTGCAAAATTCCGCAAACAGACAAAATATAACAGGACAAAAACAGTGCAAGGTAATTCTTGGAACAGTGCAAAAAATAGTATGGTTAAAAGTAGTATGGTTAATTAATAAATATTAAATATTATTATGCCTGTTACAGTTTTACTGGGCTATCGAATATAATGCACAGTTCTCACGGCACGCTTGACTATCACACCACCCAGGAGTGTGACTTCCTTCTGGAGGACTCGGTAACCTGGCTGGCCCAGAGAGGACAGGCTCAGCGACCACAGGCTGGCCATGGAGACCGACAGGCTGTGCTCCCACTGCCAGCCTGAAGTAACAGATATCCCAGAATGACCACACCTGCCAGAATCAAATCAGCTCTACTCTTCCTGTAGGATGGGGGAGAAAGGTACAGTACAGTATGTGATCGCCCGTCACAGCATGAAGGACAGGGCGAGCCTGTAAAATAATATTATGCTATTGTTCTAAATGTTCGGAAATGTTTGCTAATTGTTAATGCTTTGAGAACACCATAACTCACTAACCATGCTGATAAATCTCTTCGAATTTACATCTTTCTTTCTCTCCTCCAACTCAAAGTGCCCGGTTCCTTGTCACACAATGGAGAGGAGGCGGTCCCCGGGCTCTTCTGCCTCTCTGTTCCCTCAGGGAACAAGACAACTCTTTTTAATAAATAAGGGACAGAACTGCACCAGCTGACATCATTCATCACGCTGCTGGAGCTGTATGACAAAGACATTTGTGTCGAGGCTGGCAGAACACGTTTTTTAACAAGTTACCAACTTTACCCCCTGCAACGAAAAACCAGAGGATATCTCTTCAGATTGTGAAATCACAGAAAACATAACAGCACTGGGAAGATCTGACTAAGCTCCCGATTTCTTTCTGCACAATGAGGAACTCCAGGCTCATCTGTCAGTTTCCAAGAAGCAGAAATGCCTTAATGCTCACTTTTCCCCGTATTTGCAATCAAATGCACCTCGTACTATTTAATGATTAATTGTTAAAAAAAACAAGAGCGCTCCTGTCAATAGAGAGTTATGATAAACTTCAGAACTCCAGTGAGGAAACCAAGAGGCAAGGCTGAAGTCTGATGCTTAATTAAGTGAGCATCTTAATGGAGGCAGAAAGAATTTCAAATGGAGGGAATGTGAGCCTCAGAGAAGATGCACAAAGCGGAATACAGTACGCAGCTGAGGTTACGATGTTTGGAAAGCTCGAGATTTTTCTTCAAAGGCCACTTCTCTTCCTCTACTCCGGCTGTCGCTTTGATCATTCGTAATTCCCTCGGGAAGATGCCAGTCCATGTGGAAATGGCGCGTTCCTGAGGAGATCAGAGTGTGCGACGTAGCTGGAAAAGACAGGAGGATTACCGGGGACCAGGCGCAAGGCGCTGAAACGCTCCGGAGTGCCTACAGAAAGGAATGAGAAGAGCTCGCAGAACTCATTGATGAGCTTGCACATTCCCACTTATTCTCCAGAGGAGGTTATTGACTTTTCTCAGCTGGAGGAATAAGCTCATGTCTAGTTCCTTGCTATGCTTTGTTGAAATTGTGTCCATTTTGAAAGATAAAGCACCTTTAAGTGTATTTACTTTTGATTTAATCATCCTCTTCTCTGACAAAGGGACTCATACTGTGAAGAGAAGAAGTATGTAACCACTCAGATTACCCGAGGCCGTCCAGAGGACATTTTACTGTATATTTTCATTGTTCTGAGCCTGAGGCTGGGGTCGGACTTGCACTGAATATCTGATCAAGACAAGCGAAACCAACTCTGGGTCAGCCTGACCCTCATTTCTCTCCTCCAGTCCTGGTCCACAGCCGGGCAGGAGGCTGTGGCTTCAGCCTGGGAATTTGTACTCCAGTAACTCATGTAACCTTGCAGGCTACAGAGCCCAGAGGTGTGTTACCTCGACCAGTTGTTTGTCAATGAGCCCCTACACATCTCCCTTCACCAGAGCACTGTAAAACAGCATGCACAAGACTCAGATTCCAATAATAGATTTCTGACAGAACTTCACGCCACAGTTAAGCTGAGTAACTTTCCCTTTAACTCCTTATGTGGTATCTTTCAAGGAATGGCTTTACTAAATCCAACTTAAAGTTGTTACCTAACAAAATTAGGCACTCTTCTTCTTTTGACAAGCTTAATTCGTTCCTCGAAAACTGCCCAAAAGGGGAAAACCCATATAAATTAAATCCCTGTTACTTTGTGTTCTAACCCCTGACTGGCTCTAGAACTCAGAAATGTTCTGCCAAATACTCAAACCTCACCGTAATGCAGCAAAGAAAAGAATGAAAACAAAAACACTCCTGGTTCATTATTCAAGTAACACACTTAAAGTCATTAACTGAACAAATAGGTAAAC